TCCTCCACCTTAAAGAGTTATTTCCTCAAAGAACTTCTCATCGTTATTATACTTCCAAAATATGCTAGCAAATCCGAACAATTCACAAACCTCAAACCTTTTTAAATATGCCCAAAAGATAGTTGGGCTTCTGTAAATATGCTAAGCAATTACTGTTCTCCATGTTTGAGGTAGATGGATGATTATCATTTAAAATATATATTTCTTCTCTTTTATTTTATAGTGCCATACTCTGCTGATTTTATCCTGCCATCTCTCTGACCACTCCAGGCTGCTCTTTAATGTGGATAATAATGTAGTTTTCTAGAACAGCGCTGTCGATAGAACTTTCTGTGATGAATATGGTAGCCACCAGCCACAAGTGGCTACTAAGCACCTGAATTACAATTAGTGCAACTGAGGATCTGTTTAAAATTTTATCCTATAACTACATGGGTAGTGTACTGTATGGGACATAGGGACATAGGTGGTGTACTGTATGGGACAGCACAGTTGTAGACTCTTCTTCTTTCATTCCGAGGGTCTTATCTACTCTCAAGTTTTGAAATAGCCACTGCTACTTTCCAACTGGCCTCTTTGATGTCTTCTCTTGTTTGCCCATTAACAGTGTCATGGAAAACTGCAGCAAATGGTAATGGTTATATTGTTCTCTATATTTGCCCTTTTTTTCCTGCATCTCCTATCTTCGTATACAGCAGACTTATTTATTATGTTATTTTAATTCTACATCTTAAATACCTCTTAAATCTACTCATTCCCTTCTCGTTCTCATTGCTACATGCTTAATTTAGACTCTCATAGGCCCTTTCCTAGACTGCCAGGAAAGTTTAAATTGATTAATATTTTAGGTCTTTTGGTGGGATCTTGAAATGCTGCAATGAAGAATCAGCAAAATCCTTTCTTTTTTCAGACATTCATGACTTGGCTTTTATTCCTTTGTGTTCCCATTGCACTTTTTCCAACTCTTCTTTATCATACATAATTTCTTTATCTGTTACATTTCATAGCTCTGATTTTTTTACACTGTATTGTAATCTCAAGCATATTTTAGTGCTTCTAGAAAATTCATTTCTGATGATTGGTCTCGATCTCCTAGTCATACACTTAAGTATAATTAAAATTTAGTAAATGCATTTTGAAGTCATAAAAATGTTTATATCATTGAGGCAAATATAGTGCCTTTACAAAATTTAATTGTATATTTAATAGGATCATATATGTGTAAAACAATTAAAAAGCTCACCACAGAAATATACATTAAAAAAACTCGAAATAAATAAACCAAAGCATGATTTTTTGTCATTGAGTTATTAGAATGTGTTTGGATTTTGATTCTATTTATTTTATTATTCCTAAAGAATTCTAAAATGAACAGAAGTCCATTTATCATGAAACTATAAAATAAAGCAAATTGTTACTATATGCTAGGAGATATCTAACCAGTGCCACAATTTTGCCATTTTCAGAGGAATTTGTACAAGGCTTAAATTTTCATCCATACAAAGGAGAGAACGATACATTTTTAGATGCCTTCAAACTTTGAGATCAGATATAAATTTCTTGGAAATTTTTTTTCTTCTTCCAAGTTTTTTACTCAGGCTGCTGTATGTAGTATATGAGTCCAAATGATTTGAAATCACTTGCCAGAAATAGCAGAGGACCCTCCATAAAATTCTTCAAACATGTATCTGAAAAAATAATTTGAGAGAGTATTTTAAGCTTTGACTTCGCTGCCTCTGTATCTTGAGGCACAAGCAGAGTACTCTCCACTTCCTGTGATGTGTAAGAAGGAAAAGGAAAGTATTAAAGCTTAGGGGAGGGAAAGGAATTGAAAATTTCCCTTTCGTTTCTCTCCTTCCTTCCATTCTTCCTTTTTTATGGGAGGAGGGAGTCCTGGTCTTTGCTTCTTCTACTTACAATATACATATTTTTACTAAAAAGGATTGTGGTGAACAAACCCTAAGGTGATCCCCAATAAGTTACAACTTTCTATAATTGCCTCGCCTTGAATAGGGGCAGAACCTATTAACGGTTTCTAGTGGATGTAATAAGACAAAAATGAAAAGATTTCAGTTATAATTAAAGCCACTTATCACTGGTGTTTGAGTTAATCAAAATAGAGATTGCCCAGGGATGGGGGAAGGTGCCTGACCGATTCAGGTAATTTTTTAAAAAGAGAGCCCAAGCCTTGCCTCTAGTTAGAGAGTCAAAATAATAGAAACATTCTCTCTTCATTATTGTCTTTAAAGAAGCTAGCTGCATGAATTTTTATAACCACAAGGAAATGAATTATTCCAGGAACTAAGGGGGCTTAGAAGCAAGTCCTTCCCTGGACAAGCCTCCAGGTTAGACTGCAGCCCAGCCAACTCCTTGATGAGATCTTGAGCAGAGAACTCAAAGTAGCCAGCCAGGACTTCTCACTTATAGAAAGTGTGAGATAATAAATGAGCTTTATTTAAACCACTAAGTTTGTTGATTTGTTGCACAGCACAGAAAATTATTACAAGGGTGAAGTAGCTATATATGTAATATATATATATATATCTGTGAAGTAATGTTTTGAAATTTATGCTAATATTTCATTCCACAAATAAGACCATTCTGAATACATTCAATACATTTAATCCTCACAACAACCTTGTAGGTATATTTATATTTTTGCTCTTTGCTTCCTCATTTGAGAAAACTGACATTGACTAAGTTTGGACATATAGCCCCAGAGATGATGGATGATACAGGACTAGGACCCAATTCTGTCTTATTGTAAAGCCTGTCTCTTGCCTAGTGCCCTTCAGTGATGTTTCATTCAGTGACTGGTGGCTGTGACACAATGGTAGTGCATATGCAGATTGAATTAATTACGCAGTTAAGGAAAATCTGTCATAAAGGTGTTTGTTTTGCTTTGTCTTCTGTTTTTGCACTTTACTACCAACATGTGTTTTAGAAGAAAAGTTCTAGCTGTATTTAGATTGAAGGAAAATAAACTCATCATGGAGAGATGTTACTGATCTAAACATTTTGGGGACAGAATAAGATAAATAATGTTGTAGGTCTAGTTTATCAGGCAAGGATGTTTGTGTTCAAGCTAGCACTGTGCCTTTCAGGAAGACTGAATTGCTAAGAATAGTGCAGAACTGGGGCACTGCTTATAATACAGTGCAGAAGAAATATTCCATTCATTATCACAGGCAAAATCACTATTTCTAATAATAAGAAGAGATCAGTTGGGATGATCCAAATAAGTTCTCTGAGAAAAAGTCTGTGCCTTAACTGTGCTTCTGTGATTAATGGTTCTTGCTTTATTCCAGCATAGCTTTCTCCTTAAAGAGATGAAAGAGAAGCACATTAGAATTATGTAAGGTAAAAAACTGAATGCAGTTTATTTTTCATCAGCATTTAGAGCTTGTGAATCACTATTCAAGTCACATAACTCTTTAAAAAAATAAAACTGGAATATCGGGTGTGTTATGACAAGAGTAATATATCCTGAACACATTGTGATTCATCCTGTGGAAATCATCACAGAAGAAAAGGAATTGAATTGAGGTAGAAGCACTGTTACTAAATGAATGCAAGGAAATACATAGATCTGTTCTTCATTTTTTTTTTTTTTGGTCAAAATGAGCCAGGATGAAATAATGACCAAGTTGGATTTATATTAGCTGTTTCTCCTAACTTCAAAGACTTTAGTAAGATTTATATAAGACTATGCAAGTTAAAATATTTTCAATATGTGTGTGTGTGTGTGTGTGTGTGTGTGTGTAAGGAATTGTTGTTATCAAATTAGACATTCAGCATAGTGTTTTCTTCCCACAAATAGATTCAGAATTATAAAAATTACTTATTTCCTTTAATTGGAATTGTAACTACAGAGTTTTGCTTTTGGTAGCTCTATAGGGCATTTTAAAATAAAACCCCCTCTGGAAATTCCAGTCTCATTAAAATCTTAAAATTTATAAAAGTAATACTTACTTTATTACACAAAGTTGTGTGTGTGCATGATAATTATGGATATGTAGTTTCTATTCTCACTTAGAAAACTGAAGTACTGAAAATTTTATGTTCTGAAGGTGTCATAAAAAATGACCAATGCTGTTAAAGTTTATGACTCATGAGGAACTAAATTAATGAAACAAGTACTGCCTAAAAATGGGCATCATGATCATAAGATAAAAGGACATCAGTAGGAGCAGGTGATGAAAACTTACAAGTATAAAAACTTATTATCTTTTGCCATCATTCCCTTAACTGTGAGATATACTCAAATGGGCTGTTGTTTGTGCCTTTTTTATACTCTCAAAAAGGTAAACAGAAAAATTCCTGCCTCCCCAGTATTAGCATAAGCTGCATAAAAATAGAATCAATTTTACATCAGGCAATAGCCAAAGTATTGCTTTTTTTTTTCCTGAATAAAATCACCTCCCCTGTTCCTTCCATTTTGTCAATACACAACATCAATTCATTCAGCCTCTCCATTCTGTATTTTAATTTACTGGAAGAAATTAAGGACCTTTTTTTTTTAACCTAACTCAGGACAGGTTGTTCCTTTTTGTCCTGTTCCAGATAGATAGATAGATGGTTGTATAGATAGAGTTGTGCATGTGTTTTTAAAATTGCAAAGTTAGAATATTTTGTGAAATGTGAGGAGACAGAGGGCAAAAATAAGCATTGTTGATTTTGGAGAGGATCTGAAGTTGGCAGTGAGGAGGAGAATGACCAAATAGTTCATGTGCAGGGGAAGCATAATCTGAAGTAGAAAAATAACATTCAGAAACCAAATGATGCCTTAGAGCAATGGTTATCAAATATATTTACCATCACCCCCAAAGCAAATGAACACCTATACCAGAATTCCACAGCTGAAACAGACTGAAGGGGAATGCTAAGACTGATGTTAGAATATGATCCTACAATTTGTGTATGTATCTGCCCTCTTCGTCTCTTATTCATGGAAGTAGCTCATGAAGAAATTGTGAGGGTCTCCTGACACATCAAACAGCAGAGTTTGAAAGATTTGTGAAGTTCAGTGAAGCAGGAAGACTCCTGAGATAAAATGAACTTAGTTATAAAAATAATAGAGGCAATTTTGGCAGAAGCATAAATCACAAAAGACTACAAGAATTTGAAAGAAAAGTGTTAACAGTCTCCAACTTAACAGTAGTTCAATTTAATGATTTTTCAACCTTACAATGTTATGAAAGCAATACATAGGCATTCAGTAGAACTATACTTAAGATTTTGAAAATGATCTTTTCCTGGGCTAGCAGTATGCCCTCCGATCCTCTCTTGTGATGCTAGGCAGAGCCAGTGAGCCACAGCTGCCCGGCAGCCCCAGGATCACGAGGGTCAACAACCAACACACTCACAACTATTGTACCCACACAGCCATTCTGTTTTTCACTTTCAGTACAGTATTCAGTAATCATATGAGATCTTCAGCACTTTATATAAAATAGGCTTTCTGTTAGATGATTTTGCCCAGCTGTAGGCTAATGTAAGTGTTCTGGGCATGTTTAAGATAGGCTAGACTGAGCTGTGACGTTCGGTAGGTTAAGTATATCTTTTAAAAGCCTTTTGACTTAAGGTAGTTTCAACTTATGATGGATTTATTGGGGTGTAGCTCCATTGTAGGTTGCAGAAGATCTATGTTAGTAAAAATGAATGCAAATCCAACAAACATCTCCTAACTAATGCTCAATATATTAATAAAATTTTCTTATATTGAAACAATGTTCTTTGATATAAATACATTTAAGCGAATATAGAATGGGAAAAGAACACAACACAGTAGAATAAACCTTAATGTAATTTTACCTACATCTTAGCCAAAGCCCCTGAAAGTTTTTTCTATAACTCTGAAGAACTAATGTTATTCAAGTCTGAAGAAAATTTTAGACAACTGGGTTACCCAAGTTAAAAAGAGGAAATGACATTTATTCACACCTTGATGTTGTTTTGTGAAAGACTAATTAATTAAAAGGCTATCCATGTGTACTTTCTAGCTCTCTCATATATTTTCTAGGCCAAGACATAAAATTGTGAAAACAAAAATATTCAGGTGCATGAACAATAAAGCTGCTATTTACAATATATAGTTTAGATTTATGATAAAGCCAGCATTGCAGAAAATGTATACGGAACTATGTGGGCCAGATTAGAAATAAATACTGGGTACAGCAGTGTGCAAAAACTAGAATGATAAAAGGTTACTGAGCTATTTTTCTGTATAGGTGAATTAGGAATTAAGAGTGAAAAAAATACTGAAAAGGCAGGAAGAATATTCAAGGGAGAAATCAAAAAAGTATTCAGCAGTGGCCAGAAATTACCCATAAACGTAGGTTGAAAGGACAAATTAGAGTATTTATCCTTAAATAGCTAATTTTCTCAGAAAGAATAAAGCTTTTACTTGCTTGGGTTAAATTGGCTTCCTGGTCATGAGTCCTCACCTTGGAAACGAACGCAACTGCCTTCAAAATAAAACTAAGCACAGAATGGTAATTCTATAGAGCAAGGGAATTTAAAGCTGCGTGTGAGTTGAAAAGCTTATGAGTAAAGTTACATTTATCTGCCAAGATCTCAGTGTTGTGTTAAATCCCTAACATTCAGCACTGCAGTTCTCAGAGGACTGTTGTAGACTTTAATCAAAAGAACATTTTGCAGTTTGGTTTAAAAGGTCAAACTTGCTAACTTATCCTTCTGCAATGGTAGTTTAGTAATGGTCTAGTAACTTGGCTTGTAGATTGTCATGACCCAGATCATTTTGTGGCAATAGGAAATTGATGTGAATACTTTCAGCCTTACTCAACCATTAAAAAGAGCATTAGCTCGGCTTTTGTGTCAAACAGAGCACAGCGACTCACAGAAAAGAAGTCTCAGAAGTTGCAAATAGAACAGATCCAAGGATATGAAAGCCTTTTCTTTTCCGTAAGCATCATAATATAGCACAAAAATGTAAACGTCAGGCTGCTTCACAAAGATTGAAAAAAAAAAGTTTTAACAAAAAGCAGAAGGGCCTCGGGTACCATTTGGCTGCTAGAAATGTCTGTATCACTATTAGTCCTGAATATTGTCTCCAAAATGGGAAGAAAAGAAATGGTCTTTTACACGTCTCCTATTTGCACTTCATAGGTACTTAAGGCAGGATTGGATCTTAAATGATTGTCCAATTATACAGACAATTTATGGAAATTTTGGTATGACGAAACCAGGGGAAGTGATCTACTGCTTTAAAAAACAATGCTTAGCACAAGGAATATCTTACAGTAACCTTTAATGAAAAAGAATATGAAAACTAATACACGTATGTATATGTATGATGGAAACATGCTGTACACCAGAAATTGACACATTATAACTGACTATATACCTCAGTAAAAAAAGTAAATACATAAAATAAAACAATAAACAATCAACCAACCAGTGGTCTCAGAAGCTGAGCTGGGAAAGGAGAAATCCTAGGTCAGACGCTTTGGACACACTGCACATACAAAGATAACAAACGTAACACCTGAATTTTCAATGTGACTTAGATTGCCTAATCTTAGCAATCTGGAAGAATAGTACAATTTAATGGATCAGCACAAAGATCATTTCATAATCAGGACATTGTTCAACTGAAGTTAATTTAATTCCTTGCAGTACTATAGGTGAAACCAACGTACTTAAAAAATTTGTAGATTTCAATAGCAGTAGCTGCATAATTTTTATTTGTTTTTCATAATGATCTAGAATATACAGGTGGATTTTTTTTAGATAAATACACTACTATATTTTTAAAGCTATATCCACAAACTCTTAAACACGTATCCCCTCAAGAGGTGGAACTTAATTCCTCTTTACGTGAGCGTAGGCTGGTTTTAATGACTCTGAAAAATAAAATATGACAGAAACCATATGATGTCACTCCTGAATTAGATTCTAGAATGACTGCAGCTTTCCATTTTGAACGCTTTCTCTCCCTCTCTCCCTCACACCCCTTCAGATGCTCTGGGGGAAGCTTGTTGCCATAATGTAAGGATAATCTGGGAGGTTATGAAGATGTGTACATAGCAAGGAGCTACAGTTGTCAGGATTCACACAACATCGGAAGTAAATGCTTCCCTAGTCAGGCCATGAAAAGACTGCAGCTGTGGTCACCTGCCTCAGGGCAAACCCGTGAAAAACCACGAGCTAGAACATTCCAGCTAAGCTTCTCTTGGACTTCTGATTCACAGAAACTGTAAAATAATAAACATTTGCTTTTATAAGCCACTGATTTGAGGTAATTTGTTATGCAGATAAATTATCCAAGTTACAAGGTAGCCTATTCCAAAATACAATTAGATTAAAACTAATACTGAATATACATTCATATTTATATAATTTCCACAGATCTATGTGAAGGAAGAAGAAATGTATTCAAGGACAACAATCAAGTATTCTTCATTTTCCCTTTAAGCCAGGAATGTATTTACCTGATTTTAGTCTAGGCAATTTGAGAGGCTTTTGGACTTTTAAAGGGCTGTTTGAATTAGTTGGACACTGATGGCTAATCAAATTTTAAGCAGGACAATATTCATAGGAGTCGTTCCAGGTCAGGTGAATAATTTGCTCCAGTTTTTTTTTCCCCTTGTATATATTCAATTATGCAACCAGAGTTAAAAAGAAATGTTTAGATAACAAAAGAAAGCAAGAAGGAAACATGTAACTCCTTCCAAATGCTTTGACGATATGGTTTTACATGATTGCTGTCAATACAAATGCATTATTCCAAGTTTTATTTGTTTGTTTTTCTTGTTTGTTTTTCTTTTTTGGGGGGATTTTTGTTTTGTTTTGTTTTGCTTTTTGTTTTTTTAACTGATCACTTTACATGATCTTTTGCATAGATGTACAGGAGCCTTAATGATCCATGCCAGGGTAAAACAATTTTAATTACATTAATAAACCATCATGAACCTAGCCTAGCCCAGTAAACTACCTGGAAAGGAGGACAGAATACTGAGTGCACAGTCTGGGGAACCAACCTTCTCCCCCTCCCTTTCTTCCTTCCTTCTTTCAAGAAGTAGAACTACCCTATATTGAAAATGACTCCTATTTCATCTTTGAGAGCAGACCTCCATTTTATGTCTGACAAAAATGGGACACTTCTGACTGAATGAACACAAAAGTCAAATATGATTTGAAGTAATAATTTCTGGTGACATAAGCATAATGTTAGGATGAACTCTATCTACAACATCCACGTATAGCACTGAGTTTCAAACATATATTAAGTATTAGATAATTATTTTATATCTTACTCTACCTAACTTTACTCATCGCTTTCAATCTATTAAATATTTGAGTTCTTTGTTTTATAATAACACTCCTCTTATCAAGCACATGCTAGGCCTTTAGTGCAAAATAATCTCATTTAACCATTACACAAACCTCTATGAGATAGAAGTTACTAAATCTCTTTTAAGAGGATCTGAGATTCAAAAAACAAGCCAGTGTTACACATAATCAAGTGGTCAGACTGTGGTTTCATTCCTAGTCTGTCTGTCCAACTAGGCCTCTTGTATTTGTTCAGAGATTCTAAACTGTCTCACACATGAAATAGTGGGAAAGTACAGAATTTGGGATTTCAATATCTGGGTTCTGTTTGTTACCCATCTTTTACGTGGTATGAAGTTTTCAAGAAAACCACCGTACAAGTATCGAGTCCAGCTACTTCCCGCAAGTGTTCGCTTTACTCGTTTTTATTTTGAAGACTACCAGGAAGATTAAATTCACAGATTACATCATTCTTCAATCAGGTTCTGTCAGGTCTTGCATCTAAAAGAAGCCCCATGAAATCAGCTGCTCACACGTCTCTGCATAAAGCCCCATGTGAGAAATCCATTTCAGTATTTAAAGCCAAAAAAAAATTTCTCCTAAGGTGCACATAAAAACATAGCCATACTTAAAAAAAAATACAGCAGTGAAATGCTTTGACTACAATAGTATTGATATGATTATGTATTCACCCCTTCCTACAACTCTGTAACCACCTTTATCTCTTTTTTTGTCTTGATTTATTATTTTCTATAATATGTTTTATAAAATGTATTATATGTATATTTATACTAACATAGATATGGATAGTTTATATACATAGCTATATTTTGCTGCTTAGTTAAGGTTTGCTTAATGTATAGTACTTCACATTTTTCACTTTGTGAAATGAGGTGGGATATGAATAAATAAATTGTCCTCTTCCTTTTCTGAAATTATATAAGCAGTGTAACTCCCAGGTTAGTCACCTGAACTGTGTCTAACAATATTACCAAATAATTATTAAGTCAACTAATTAATACTGGGAGAATCATAAGTCAGAGTGACTATTTTTAAACATACAACTTAAGAAATACGTTTGAAGTTTTCATTTTTGAAACATATTATGTAGTCTCATACTGTGATGACACATTTAGTCACCTGTCCGGATAAACACACACACACACACACACACACACACACGAGCACTCACAAAAATCACATTTCAATCTGTTGAGGTAAGTCCTTTAAAATAAGTGAGGCACAAATAAGTGAAAGTAGCTACCTGGCAAAGTATAATCAAAATAGCTGACTGATTGATTGGGTTTTCCAACTAACTATTGTATATGCATAGCTTCAAAATTAAAATGCTAAAAGAATCTGAAACAAATGCAAACTGTGTGCCCTTATTTGGAAGTAACTTTAATTTCATGCTTTTTTGCTACATTATTTTGGGAGTTCTTTGAAGAAAGCATGCATTACAAAGTAAATGTTCCTTTCAGTCTGTAGCTTCAGCAAGGTGGGGACTGCATGTAACAAAATTACACAAGCATGCAAGTCATCATTATGTTCTAATTTATTAGAAAATTACTTCCTGAAATACTTTTCCCGCCCACTGTAGGTCTGTGAATATATAGTATAAAATAACCAAAAACTAAATCCTGATTTTAAATCCCACTTTATGATCGACAAAGAGTTTAGACTTCTGAACTGACTGTTTTCATCTTCTAAATCATTTTAAATTAAAGCATTATTCTGATGTTAATCTAAGAAACAATACTGAATTATCACGTGTGGTCACTTTCTTCCAAAATAGTTTTCCTTACAATCTTTGAAGAGATAGATACAGGCTTTATTTATCCTGAAGCATCTGTCTGGATAAGTATTTCATAAGAAGTTCAGCAGAATCAGGAGTAAAATCACAAATAGTCACTGTACCAAAAGTACCAGCTTGAGGCTCCTTTTTCCTCAAAGACCTCCTTCAGGGCAGAAGAGCTTACTGTGAACTCCTAGGGGGAAATAATTGTTGTGGCCCGAGGCAGTTCTTTGATCTGAACTCCACTGTTCTAAAGGTGAATTCTCCAGTGCCTCTTGGGAAGTAATTGATGTGTTATTCCACTAGCGTTTGTTGTTGATACAAAGGACCAACTACTCTCCTAAAACAAGTCTATTTTCTTAAAAAGAAGAAAAGGGAATATCAACCCTTCAGAATGAAGCAATACTGCTTTCCTGGCATCCATTCTAGGTTTTGGTTAACATCTTGGGTTTGGTGCCTGGAGCACCTGAGCCAAAGTCTGGTCAGGAACCTTTAACAGGCTACTTCCTGCCAAACCTCGGTTTCCTCTTCTGTGATGTCCCACTCACACTCTGAGGATCACTGTAAGGATGAAACTCAAGTAGGTACACAAATCCCTGGACAAATGCATAATGCCTAGTAAATGTTCAATAAATAACTAGAATATAAATTTCCTGTGTGGGTCACTTCTGTAAACAAAATCCTACCACTTTTCACTAGTAAGCATACCCAGCTTTTATTTTCTCAGCTTTACCTTTATGTCATAGAGTAACTTAAGTGCCTATGTTGTTATATCATTATTTTGCTATTTTTGCTGTAATCTTATACCTTTTCTGAACTACATAATAAAAAGGAAACTAGACAATATAGCGTATATGATATCAAACCATGATTGTTGAGAGAAAATGCTTCCAGTAATTCAGCCCAACCATTGAAACTAAACCATCCCAGAATGATAACAATGTGAAATGAAGTTCATATTTTATGGCAAGACAAGAAAATTTAAACATATAAAATTATCCTCTGCCCTTTGACCTCCTCACCTCTCCCACCCCACTGTGCATTATGTATCTGCATTATGCATCAGCCAAACCTTCCCCATCAGCAGAAATACCTGCTCACCCATAAAAAGCAATATTCTCTTAGCATCAGTAAGACGACCCCTTAAAGATAAGATTCCTTCTTGATCTTGTAAGGGGCCACACGGCATTTAGATCTGGATTATGTCAACTCTCAGTAGCGCATCATTTGATGTACAGCCCTCTGTCTCAGAAAGCTTATATAACTGTGTCTTAACTTCTAACGAGTGAAACCGTTCTCAGAGTTTCTCAGTTTCTGTTCCTGGGTTATAATCCTCAAATTTGGCTCAAATAAAATTTCCACTTCTTTCATAGGTTGACTGTGGATTAAGTTTCATCAGCAGCAACAAAAAAGGTGAGAGAATAGCATTCATACCTTATAAAATTGTAGGCTAACCTTGGATGACTTTCCTAGAGAACAAACAGTACTTTGATCACCTTGATCAAGGATGTTTCCTACTCAACTAATTTTGGATGATTTTGCTTAAATATATGTAATCTATCTAGACTGCAAAGTAAAAATAAATCAGTTTGGTGCCTAGTAAAACAACATTTACTTGAATTAGATTTAGCAAAGTATCTCAATGTTACCACATGTAAATTTTTCATGTATAGATCCTTTCTGAGGAAAAAAATGTAGTTTATACCTATTGCTTTTAGAGATGATTAAAATATTATAGTTAAATATGCAGCAATATTGATAATATTAGACTGTGCATCAGGAGATCTGTTGTCTCTCTGCAGGACCTTACACATATCAGCCTCATTGTCCACATTTCTCAAATGGAAATAATGGCATTTTCTTCCTTGCATGGAAATGCTATAATGAAATAGTGGTACTATTCTTTGCAAAAAAATATTAGCTCTGTATTTTAATATTACCAAAACCGAATTGGGAGAACTCTTGTAGAAAATATTTATTGGGAGCCAATCGTTAGAGAGAACTGTCATTATTGGTTTAATTCAGAGTCAAAAATCTCTCTAAATGTTTACGGCAGTCCTATTTCTCCTTATAAATTAATGATTTGAAACACACTCTCTCTTGTTTCTTTCTTCTCTCTTGGTCTGTCTTTATCTTGCAAATGGAAAACTTCATCACATCTTAACAGAATGTAACTTAAAATTTCAACTTTATATGATTAGAAAATCATGTATATTTCAGTTATATATATATATATATATATAATGTAATCAGTATTCATAAGACTGTCAAAAATGCATGCATTCTTAATTCTCTTAGACTGACTGAAATCACACTTACTCTTGCCATATGTTATATGGTATTTTGTGTTTAATTTTGACATTATTCATATTTGGAAATTGTTAATTATTGATGAAAAGAGGTGGACTTTACGTGGGAAGTTTAGAAGACTCATTCATACGTTTCCTGTGTTTTTACCAGGGGGATACTCTTCTCTAATGGAAGAGAATAGATTACTGAAATTTGAATGGTGAACCAAAACTAAGTTTATAAAATAGATTTAT